AGCAGCGGCAGCAGGAGCGTCCGCGGCCCCGGCCTCCACATCCCCCCGACCCACTCCGGCCAGGCCCGGGGCCGCTTCCGCCTGAGAGTCACCTCCAATCCCCCGCCGACAGCGCCGGCCCCCGCGGCCAATGATCGCTCCGCGCCGCTCGACGCCCGCCTCCCCATTGGTGGCTTCCCGGAGAAGCCCCGCCCTCGTCGTCAAGGGCAGCGGCGCCCGGCTGGGGTCTGTGGAGCCGGGGCTGAAGACACGACGGAGGCTGCGATTGGGCCACGAGCTCGGGCACTCAGCCAATAGGCGTGAAGGAGGGCGTGAAGAGGCCAATTAATGCGAAGATGGTGGTGGTAGTGGGGGGCAGCGGAGAGGGCGGGGCACAGGCTCCCTGAGGTTTCTGGGGCTTCTTGTCCCTAGCTCTCGAGGCCACGTGATCATTCCATCCAGATGTTCTTAATATGGTCAGTTGGGTGTGCCATAAAGGTTGGCGCCAAAGGCTGGGAGTTCAAATCCAGCTTCTGGCCCTTAATTTGTTTTGTGACCCTGGGCAAGTCCCTTCAGCTCTCTGTACCCCTAGGCGATCCTCTAAAATGGGGGTTCTTCACTTGGGCCCCATACACCTGTTGTTTTTTAAATATGTTTTGAAAATTGCATATCAGTGTAATTGGTGCCCTTTGTCATGCTCTGTAGTTTATTATCACGTTGTAAAGCATGATTCTGAGAAGGGGCTCCAGGCTGCACCCCACTGCTCGTGGTGAACCGCCCAGCCCCCCCAAGAACTCTCTAAAGGCAGGGGAAAACCAGTCCCTGCTCCCAAGGAGCTCACAATCCAATGGGAGACCGTACAAACTATGGAGAAACAAGACATAGGCAGGATAAACTGGAGGTGACCAGCGGAGGGAAGGCCCTAGCATTGGGGCGAATGGGGAAGGGCTGCCTCTAGAAGCAGGGGTTAGCTGGGACTTGAAGAAAGCTAGGGAAGTCCAGAGTTGGAGGTGAGGCTGGAGAGATGTCCAGGCATGGAATTCAGCCAGCAAAAGACGCGGCGTGGGGAGTATTGGGAGATGGAATGTCTTGTTCAGAGGAACACCTAGGCGGTCACCTGATCACTAGGTCAGCTGTAGGGTTTCCTAGGAGGTTTCTGGGATAAATGAAATTTCCCAGACAGGAAGCTGCCATTAGGAAGCCAGTGACCAAGGAACCACAGGTCAACTGACTGGCTGACCATCAGTTTCTGTAACTGAGTGTACAGGAGATTGAGCTGGTGGGGAGGATGCTGAGTGAGAGCACAGGAGTTCCCAGCCTACAAACTGGGGGAGTCTGGGAGCAGAGCTCTGGTGGGGGAAGGAGAATTTACACAAAGGGCAGATTTGACATGACCAAAGTTAGGGTTCCTGAGGCCTACGAAAAGGTCTTGAGGCAACCCCTGGGGAAGGCTGGTGGTATCAAAGGAAAAAAAAATGAATACTAATAGTGCACTTTGCCATTTAGGCTCATCTGCCAGAAACATTTTAATTTTCATTGTTTATGTAATATATCATTAATTTATATCAAAGTCATTTCTAGTTTGGAGAGAGCTGTCCAACTAGCTTAGTCAGTCCCCTTTCCCCTCTGATAGGACTTCTCTGTCCTGAGATGACTTGAAGCAACATTCATGGGAATCTTGAACAAGGAAAAGGTCAGAATATGTTGAAATATAGTTTTGGGTTAACATTCAAGAATAGTTATCACCCAGTTCCTTCTTAGACCACTCTTCTAAAAGTATTCCTTCCTGTGATCAATATCTTTGAATGCAAAAGAAAACACAGTTCTTAGGCTCCTCACAGCACCAATTACTTCAAGTGAGTGGAGAGTCAATGATCTTATTTAGGGAAGAGTTAAGGTGGGTAATTACCACTATTCCCTTTCCCTAAGAAAGGTCTTTGCCTTTGTTCTATCCATTTCTCTCGGTGGAAAGCATGGAAATGATTTTGTTCTAGAGAAATATTACTTCTTAATATTTCTACTGTAACCAGGGTCTTGAGCAGATTTGCATAAGACTCTTATCATGGATGGATATTGATTACTTGATATTCCATGCCTTCAAGAGGGTGACAAGAGAGATCTTTGGTCTTCTGGCTTCCAGCTTTGAGAGAAAAGAGTTCAAGAGTCTCTGGGAGAGACCCCTAAAGCGAGAGGAAGACTCTGGGAAGAAGCTGACGACAATGATGTCCCTATCCCCAGCTTACCACACTAGCTACTTGGGAGAATTTCTGGGACTCTTTCAGTGGAGCTGAGAACCCTTGTTTCCAATAGGACACCTCATTCATTCTCTGTATTGTTTGGCACAGTCTCCTCTATAACTTCTATGATACTTGTCACTGCTTAGATATGTGGGGATTATAATTGTCCAATCTTCAAGAAAAACCACTGAGTCAGAGCTCTGAGCCAATGGCACTTTTTTAAAAAGGGTCCATGGTCCCCTTTAATGAAATGTGCTTCAGGTCTTCTTCCAGATCTGAGATGCTCCCCTCTTCCAGGACCTTGTTTTTATAGGGTTTGATACCCAAATATGCAAGAGGTATGGTATAATACAGAATCTCATTGGTTGATAGATCTTTCTCTTGAGGGCCAAAGATGACATAACAAGGATGGTAACAGGTTGGGTGAACCATGGGGCATCTCCACTGACTAAGTGATGATAAGGTGGTCACCTGCTCATGCTGGACAAAATAGAATGGTCTGGAGATATAAAAATAAGTTGAGGGACTCTTCAAAGTGTCAAGGCATCCCACCCATGCTGGGTTTGGACATGGAATTTGGGCAAACTGGGACAGCAATATCTTTGTCAGCATTCTTGAGGTTGTGTGACTGAGCCTCATAACCTGGTGAATAAGTGGTGAATATTCATTAAAGTTTGAGGTCCATTATAAGAACCTAACTATCCCTATATGATTTATGTAAAGTATCAAACTGATTAATGCTGATTGGAATACAGTAGGGGTCCAAATGAATTATTGCTCACAGACAAATGGGTTTATTTGTTAATCACCATGTGTAGTCTTCATGTAACTGACATTTGGTGGGAGTCTCCTTGGATATATGGCTTGGGATACTACTTTCCTATTAAAGAGATAGTTATTAGAGGTGCAACTTGAACGTAAAAACATTCTTTCCTCTAACAATATTTAGCTGTGAAGGGGGGCAGGGTGGCTAGACAGATTCTGTCTGAGGAGAGCAGAGTGGCCAGCCTCATGGCACCAACCTCCCCCTTTCCTTCCTATGAGGAATCCAAAGTCACCCTTGGAGAAGGTTGGAGATTCTAGAGATATCTATTCACACCTTCCTGTGAGCCACTCTAGACAGATCCATATGAGTACACATAACTTTCATTGGTAAATGAATCTATCCATTTATCTATCTATCTATCTATCTATCTGTTTGTCTGGCTATATGTATGTATGTATGTATACACACACATATATACATATGTATATATATATGTGATATGTATACACATATGTGTGTATGTGGTTTGAGAGGGAAGGTGCTATCAGCTGGAAAGCCTGGTAGAAAATGATGCTTAAGCCATGCCTTGAAGACTAAGTTCCTTGAGGGCAAGTACTGTCTTTTGACTCTTTTTTGTTGTCTGGATTCGGGACAATGGACAATGCTCTCATGCTTTCCCAGTCACCAGTGGAGTGAAACAAGGCTGTGTGCTTGCTCCCATGCTTTTTAGCAGGATGTTTTCAGCCATGTTGTCAAATGCTTTCAATGATGATGAACATGACATCAAGGTGAGCTACCGCACTGATGGTGAATTCTTCAGCTTCAAAAGGCTACAAGCCAAGACCAAAGTGGAGGGAGTGTTGGTGCATGGTTTTCTGTTTGCAGATGATTGTGCACTCAATGCAGCCTCTGAGGCTGAGATGCAACAAAGTATGGACCGATTCTCTGCTGCTTGTGTTAATTTTGGTCTAACAATCAACACCAAGAAAACACAGGTGCTCCATCAGCCCGCACCACACCATCTGTATGTAGAACCATTGGTTACAGCAAATGGAGAAGTTTGGAATGCTGTGGATGAGTTCACTTACCTTGGCAGTGTACTTTCTAGGGATGTACACATTGATAATGAGGTTGATGCTCACATTGCCAGAGCTGGCTCAGTGTTTCGGAGGCTCCGAAGGAAAGTGTGGGAGAGAAGAGGTTTTAGACTGACTACTAAACTGAAGGTCTACAGAGCCTCATTATTGTGTGCCTGTGAAACCTGGCCAGTCTACCAGCGCTATGCCAGGAAACTGAATCTCTTCCATTTGAATTGTCTTAGGAGGATTCTGAAGATCACCTGGCAGGATGAGATACCAGACGCTGAGGTCCCTTCTCAAACTAAACTGTCAAGCATTCAATCTCTGCTTCAGAGAGCACAACTCCGATGGGCTGGTCACATTGTTGGAAGGTAAAATGGTAGGCTTGCCAAAAAGACTATTTTACGGAGAATTCACACAGGGCAAGCATTCACATGGTGGTCAAAAGAAGCGATACAAGGACACTCTCAAGGTCCCTCTAAAGAACTTTGGAATTGATTGTGTGGTATGAGAGGCACTGGCACAGGACCACCCAGCATGGTGTGCCCACATCAGAGAAGGTTCTGTGCTCTATGAGAAAAGCAGAATTGCAATAGCTCAAAAGAAACAGAAGATGCGCAAATTTAGAGAATCCAGCCCAAATGTTCAGGTGTCCGACCTGTGGTAGAACATTCGAAGTTCATCATTGGTCTGATCAGCCACAGTGGGACACATGAGAACTTGACTCTGGCATACTGATGTCATTTTGTTCCTCTTCGAAAACGAAGGATGACAACATTTCCCCAGCACTTAGTATAGTGCCTGGCACATAGTAGATGTTTAATAAATGTTTATTGACTGATGGACTGGAGGAAGAGAAGTCTATGAAGCTGCAGAGGAGACCACCTGTTTGTTGAACTAAGTTGAAATGTCTCTGATGGTCAATTAGTCACTGGGTTCCATAGGTCCTTAGTCACAGAATTCTGTGGTATCTCAATCATAGGACTTGAGAATTTCTCAGATGTTATGAATGGGTAAGGTGAGAAGAAGGAATACATTCCAGGCACGGGAGATGGCTAATGAAAATGGGGAATAAAATGACATAGAGATGTAAAGTTGAGTGTAGATCATGGGAAATGATCAAGTTGAGGAACTGGGAAATTGGAGTGTTTGAGGGAGTATCAATACGTACATTGGAATCCCATAAGGTAAAAGCAGCATTTTATAACTAGCTGATAATTGTTT